TATATATATATATATATCTCTTTCTCTCTCTCTCTCTCTCTCTCTCTCTATATATATATATATATATATATATATATATATTATCTTTTTACTAAAACAAATTAAACTCATATCAAATGGATTTAGTTAAGATAGTATATAGTGGCATTACATTAAAATAACATCTATAATATAGTAGAATTTAGAAAATTCAGAATAATGATTCCTTTACATTATACAGCATACAATGAATAAACTTAGTATTGCGACTTTGTAAAGAATCTCTTTTCAAGGACATTCTTGTTTTTGAAGGAGCCAAAGAAGTTATCAATTCTAATTCATGGGCCTTGCATGAAATTGTATTTGAATTTTCCACCTCTTTTTTGTTTATTGAGAAAATATAGTGTATAGTTCCAATTACCTCTACCAATTCATCCAGCTTCAATAGTTATGATTTTTTGGTTTTTGATTTTTATTTCAATCATATATATATATATATATATATATATATATATAACTTTAGATTTTGTAGTGATTAAAAAAATCAAAAAAATATCAGTGATAGATTATTCAAAGATGAATTTATTAAATGATGAATGTTTTAAATATTTTATTGTAAAATTCTATAAATTGAAAACTTATATAAATAAATATATATAATATTTTTCTTAGTAATAATTAAAAGTTTGAAAATAAGACTAAAGAATCTTACACTAAGATTTATTTATTATTTTATTTATTTACATATTAATCTTATAGTTTTATTTTTATTTGTATTCTTTGATGATTATGAATTTGATTAAATAATGTCCAAGATATGAGCATTTGGAGTTTTAAAAAGACATTGTGTAGAATATGCTTTTGTATTAAAGATCTCATAATAAGAAAAATAATTTTTATTATTAAGATGTATTTTTAAAACACAATTTTATTTTTTAAAAACATTACTATCTTAATAAATAAATACATATTATATATGTAGGTTGCTGCTAATGCTACTACTATTATTGCTATTGCTACAATAAATTGCCATCTACGACATTTCACAATAGTTTTTGGCACTCATATTATAATTTTATATTTTATATATTTTATATTTTTTTAAATTAAATTTTCAATTAAAATTTTAAAATAAAAAATATTAAAAATATTAAAAAAAATTGATTGAAATTGAAACAAGTAAGAAAATATGTGGAGTGGATGGTAGGTTGTAGATGTAATAGCAAAAACTTTGGTAACTTTGGCAATACCATCTATCTATCTATCTATCTATCTATATATATATATAGAACCCTAAGACTTATATTATAGCAAAGTAGATTAAATGTTAAAAGATTCAATATATAAAAATAAAATTTTAAAAATAAATAATGACTAAACTTTATAATTTATAATTTTTTTTATTTTAAAATATATATACTAAGTTATTTTTAGAAATTAAAAATATCTATATTATATTATTTAAATTCATAGATTTTTTTAATGATTAATAAGAATATATATATATATATATATATATATATATATATATCTCTTTGTCTAAATCTTAATCTATTTTGTATTTATTATAATAACTTCTATGATTACATTAATATGATACAAAATTCTCATATTGACTATCATTTTCTTAAAAAAAATAAAAAAAATAATGTATAATCATTAGAAAAACAAAATCAACAAATAAATGAATGTAAAAAAGAAATAAAATACCAAAATTATTTTTTGTTTTAAATTAAATTTGTTTTGAGTGATTTTTTTTATTAATATATTTTTATTGCATTTAAAGTTATAACTCAAAAATATTGAAATATAGTTGTATTAGAGCTAGTGAACTATTTGGCTTTTAATCTATGAATCAAATTATATACTTAACAAAAAAATAGTTCATAATATATGGAATTTTTTTAACAGTTAAAATCAATTTCTATGTTCATTAAATGATTATATCTTTAGATTATATACAAGATATTGCTAATACCACTGCAATTTTATCTATTATTACTACAACCCACCATTCATTTAACATTTTTTTTAAAAAAATATTCTAATAAATGGATCTATAAATATTTTATACATTATTATATTTATTATTAAATTATATTGGTTAAAAATTTAAAGATATGTAAAAAAACTAAAATAATATGTTGAGTAAATAATAAGTTGTTGTGGCAATGATTAAAACTATGATAACAAATATTATGTATCTATGTGTGTGTGTGTATATATATATATATATATATATACATACATATACATATTTATTTGTGAATCCTATAATAGAAACAAGATCCTAAATTACGTAGACATCATAAACAAAAACATGAATTCTATAATATTGAACATATGGTTAATTTTTATTTTTCAAAAATTTTAAACCACATGTATTGAAAATGATTACATGTATTTTCTGATTTTTCTTGGAGGAAGCAAGAGTAAAATGTTTTGATATCAAATCTTACATAATATATTCGTCATTGCAAATAAAATTTAATAATGCATAAAAAGAAACAAAAAAATTATAACTAAAAATAATCAAATGCTAAAAGAATAAATTCATAAATAATGATACATATACACATTGGTGCATACATTGGTGTATGAAAGAATGAGAGCATGTCAATTGCACAAAGAAAAGTATATGAATATAATATTAAAATTTTGGTGTAAAATTGTCAAAATAGAATGAAACATAATAACAAGTATGAACAAAGATTTTTTTTTTTTTTTTTTTAAATCTAAGTATTTTTATTTCAAATTGTCATAAATTAATTTTATTAAAACAACTTTGAAACCAAGACAAACCAAACAATATTTTGGTATTGTATTATGTATATTCTTGCTTGAAAATACACTAGGTACCTAGCTGTGGAAGGTAAGTAGAAATGCAACAATAATCCTACCAAATCTAATAAAGTCTTATTAAACTTTAGATAATCCTTAATAACTCTTATTAGACTTTAACCAATCCAAGAAAATTTAAAAGAAGTTACAAAAGAAACATAAAGAAGTCATAAATTACTCTCAAAGAAATATAATAAAGAAATCCTATAAAAATATAAAAATAAAATCTTGAAGAGATAATAATAATCTTAAAAAATATTAGAAATAGAAATTTTTAAAGAAATAATAAATAATTCTTTAAAAACTATAAATAGAATTCTTTAATAGTTTCTAAATAAACTTTTATCCAATCTTAATTTAATCCTTCATGAACCTTAACCAAATCTTATATCAAACCTTAATGAAATCCTAATGAAATCCTAAACCTTAACCAAATCCAAAATTCTGGATCAATTCTAATGAAATCTAAAATCATAAACAAATCCTAATTAAATCTCAAGAGAATCCTAAGTACATCTTAGTTAATTACTATAGTTATTTGAAACTTCAATAAATATTAATTGAACCATTAATCTTAACTAAAATTTTATCCAGACTTCAATCAATAAGCAATTATAAAGCACACAAAATTTGAAAAGAATTGGACTTACCAATTGTAAGAAAAGCTCCCCAAATCTCTTCTTTGTTAGCCAACCTCCTTTTCCATCTTGAATGTTGATCTTTCAACAAAGATTTCTCCTCATAGAACTATTCAATTACTCCAAAATTTGAATTATGTATAGATATTAAAGTCTAAATTGCTCTCACTAATTTTTGCTTCATTCAAACTAGCAAATTTTGTCATTTTGCCAGATCTCTCTGTGATCTTAAATTTTAATTATTCAAGACCATAATCCACAAAAACTCTTATAATCTTCAATCTATCTGTTTGATTGATCTCAAATTTTTCATACACATTTAAAACAAGCACAATGACAAAACTTCAAATTTTTTACTCATAAATATGTTACAAAACTCACAATATCCTCAAATTTGTAAACTTGTGTTTATTTCTCAAAATCTAAATCCCCCTAATATATTATTAACTTTGAAAATCCCTCAAATCATCAATGTTAATCCAAATGACATGATACTAACTCTCAAAAATCTCTTCTCAAGTTTGCTCCCTAATCTAGCTCTTTGATTGACAAAAGAATCCCAAAGTCGCCATAGGAGTGTAGTTTTGTTCCTCATGGTCTGATTTTGATCCATATTTATAACAAATCATCTCTAAGTATCAATTTTTGGTAATTTGAGGTAATTTTTGCTTAAAATTTTTGTTAACTCTCTCTTAAAGATGTTTATATTATTTACTTTGATTTGATGCATTTATGTCCTTGCAAAATAAATAGAAGTCTCTTCTATAAAATGCAACATTAAGACTATATGTTTTTGCTACCTTTCTATCATTTATCTTTGTTTTTTTTAATTTTTTTTAATTTTTTTATTATATCTTTCTACTAGGCTCTTCTATAATAACATCCATATTTTTATTTTTCACCATATGTAGTGTTACCACACAACATCAGTACCAAGATATATTTCATGATGATGTTGAAACTTTTTTGTAAGGTCTTCCAAAAAAAATATTATTATTGTAATTGCCCACAACTTCAACATAGTAAACCGCAAAATCATGATATGCAATTGCTATGAGAGTAGCTTTTCTTTTAGTGTATATATATATATATATATATATAACCAAACCATAAGATCAAAATCCATTTTATTATATTTCATGTTATTCATTCAAACTGTTACAGTGATTGTGAGTTGCTTAATTGACCACATTCCCACAGCAACACAAACACAAATCAAGTTAACACACATTAATGTCCAAGTTAGCACACTAATTGTTTGCAACCCTAAAAAACTGCATGATATTTATTCCAACACCGTTTAGAAAAGACCTTGAAACAAACCCGGAACCGCTGTAACGATACCGGGGGGCAAAGAGGTGAAAAGAAAGCAAAATTCGCGGAAGGCAACTTTGTTACGTTTTTGTTTTAACTTTTGTTTACCGGGGGAAGGAGAACCGGTCGAGCCCGAGCCGGGACAAATCATGGTGGGGCTGCAAGCAGCAGCAGAGCCGGTCCCGTCGCGGGAGCATAGCCGAGGACGAGGCAAGGGCAAGCTAAGCAATGGCCATCATATTATATTTGCAAGTAAGCAGCGGCGGCGGCGTCCATGTCGGCGCGCGCTGGATTTGCTTCTCGTCCTTCTTTCCCTTCCCTTCGTGTTGATGTTGCTTTCTTTCACCCGTGTCCCCTCTCCCTTCAAGTATTTAGTCGCGATTAACATATTCTTCGTCTTCATCCCGCGCCACATCAACCTCCAGATCCCGCTCCCCTGTTAGGTCGCCCTAGGGTTTCTCGACCCCATCTCAAAGGAGCCTCGGTCGCACCGTCGGGGGAGTGTGTGTAGCTGTGGTCGAAGCCAGCTTCGGGCCATCAGGCGCTTCCCCTCTCGCCGCTGGTTTCTTAAGAATTTCTCTTCACAGCCCCTCACTATGTCGGACACCGGAGCCCCTGGCGGCGCTGCAGGTATGCGTCTGATGGATGGTTCTCTATGGATTTATGTGTGTGTGTCTGTGTTTTTTTTGCGATTCTGGCTTGGCCGGCTTTAGCTTTTCAGTGTGGAGAATAGTCTGTGTTTCTCCTGTATTCGTTTCTCAGTGCTTGTTCGTATTTCAAAAAACTACAGATTTGCGTTGCTTCTCTTTCCCCTTATGTTTAGTTGTCAGAATCGAGTTGTCCTTCTACGTTTAGGTTTCTTTGTCGTCCTTATATTGTTGGTGTGATGAACTAGATATGCACTTTTTCGCTCTGCATGTATCTTGGGAGTACCTTAGAGGAAGCAGACCTGAATAAAAACCGCGCTTTTTAGTTTTCTATTGTCATTGAAAACATATCAGTTATCTAAATCACTTGACAATGAATGTTGGCTTTTAATTAAAGCCAGCAAAATCACCGATGAATCAATCTCGGTGAGTGCGGACGACCTCGCCGGAGTGGCGAATGTCCAGAACGTTCTGAATGGGAACTCATCCGGATTCGTAGCGACACTCCCTGCTCAGGTCCAGGCTAGGGTGAAGGTCCTTCAAGAAATTCAGGTTGGCGCATGCCCTGGAATAAATATTCATTTAATGCATGAATGACACCATGAGATCATTGGTGCCAGTACCGCATGGCTACTTTTTGAGTGAGATTGAGTTCCCTCAGTACAATCCTCAGATCCTCCCATCTGCTTCGTGACATTTGACGACCTGATGCTTGTCTCTGTCTGTTCTCAGTCCGAGCATGATAAACTTGAAGCCAAATTTCACGAGGAGAGAGCTGCTCTTGAAGCTAAGTACCAGAAGTTGTATGAACCTCTGTATGCCAAGGTAAATGTCTTCAGTGGAAGTAAATTAGTCTTGTTAACTAGTTTGCGTTTTATCAGAAGTTCTTTGACGTTGGTACATTATACTCATAGTACTACTCTCTAGAAGTAGTGTTTGTTCAGTTGGCTTTTTGATAATCTGGTGTTTTACCCTAACTTCATTTCTGGCATATCAGAGATCGGATATCGTTAATGGTGTTGTAGATGTTGAGGCTCCCAAGGGTGAAGCTCCAGAAGCAACACCTGCTTCTGAGGAGGGAGCTGAAACAGGTGCTATGCTTACTTTGTTACCATCTTTTACTAGGTTAACGCATTGTCAGGAAATGTGACGAACTTCTGTGATTCGTCTTCCTCCCTTGTCTCTCACTACGACACAACTGGTTTGCAGTGAAAGGAGTACCAGAGTTCTGGCTCATGGCGATGAAGACGAACGACATAGTCAACATGCAGGTAATTTTATATTTTATACACATCCTGAATGGGTTTGTTGATGATGTTTGATGTGAGTCATGTGCTTCAGTTTCCTCTTAACTTGGGTGGAACTATCTTTCGGTGATAGATTACCGAACGCGATGAGGCCGCCCTGAAACACTTGAAGGATATTAAATCTAGCAATCTCGAGGAGAACAAGGGATTTAAACTTGACTTCTATTTTGAGGAGAATCCTTTTTTCAAAAACACCGTGGTAAGTATACTGTGCTCGCTTATTAAAATGAGCTTTGACTTACAATCTGTATTTTTTGAATTTAGATTTCAGTAGTTTAAATCTAGCCGGGAGAAATCCTTAACTACCCATCGTTTGTGCAGTTGAGCAAAACGTACCACATGCTTGACGACGATGAACCAATTTTGGAACGCGCAGTGGGGTGAGTCCCATCATCTACATATTATATAGAACTTCGATCGAGAGGGTTTGAACTGTATTTACGCCACCTTTGTGTAGGTTACCACGTTCGATAGTGAATTAATTCGTCCCTCACCTGAACCTGTCCGGATTCTCAGAACCGAGATCGAGTGGACTTCCGGGAAGAATCTGACTCAGAAGGTCATGAAGAAAAAGCCCAAGAAAGGAGCGAAGAATACTAAGCCAGTCACTAAAACTGAGCCGTGTGAGAGCTTCTTCAACTTTTTTAGCCCACCGCAAGTTCCTGAGGATGACGACATTGATCAAGACACCGCAGAGGCTCTACAAGATTCTATGGAGCAGGACTATGATATTGGGTATGTGCAGTGCTTGGAAGTCCGTGTGCAAGTAATGTCGAATCATTATAATGGAACACTCACGTTAATTTGCTGGAATACTCATGTGAACTCGTTCCGTATCGTTTCAGATCCACTATTAGGGATAAAATTATTCCTCATGCTGTATCATGGTTCACTGGAGACGCCCTTGAAGGCGAGTTTGAAGATGATGATGATGACGAGGAGGATGACGAAGACGTTGAGGATGAGGAAGATGATGAAGATGAGGAGGACGATGACGATGAGGACGAGGAAGAAGAGGTATCTACAGGCTTCCAATTGTCAATGAAATCTTTATTTTTCACTGTCCATTGCGCTGTCGCATTCCTAGTCGACTTTCATTTTTTGACAAGCTGAGTGGCAGAGAATGTCTACTGTGAAATCGAAACGATGTTGTGAATATATCTAGGTTGGGTCTCTATTGTTAAATTTCACTTCCTGACGCTCTGTTTTGTGGTGTTTGCAGACTGTGGCCCCCGTAAAGAAGGTAACTTGATAACGTCCACCTTCAATGAGATTGGATCTGTTCTGTATTAAATCGGCTCTTCAATTCACCCTATTCAGTTTCTCCACTTTAAAAGTTCTCCCCTCGTGTACTTAGTCTTCTATGTGATCAGGGTCGTGCACCAAAGGCAGCTGGTGGGAAGCAACAAGGTGATGAACCACCAGAATGCAAGCAGCAGTAATTTCAATCTGTTCTCAAATCGGCGCTTGTTTTCATTAAAACATGACTTATACACATCTCCTGTCTTTTCTTAAAAGCATACTGCTTTTATGTAGTCAAACGTAGGGAATGTTAACATTCACCTTCTGGAAGTTATCGCAGAAACAACTCAGTTCAAGTAGCATTGACTATTTATAGAGAACCTGTAACCACGTCTGAAATTTTAAATCACAACACATCCTTTGTCATTTCTTGCCACAATTGCTGTCCATTTTTTCTACTGGATTGTACAATGTGGGGTATAGTAAGTGCACTGTACAATCAAAATCATAATATATTTACTGATCAGAACACATGTCTACCCCTTAAATAATTCACCGCCTGAAACTGGGCAAAGGATATTCCTAAGATGTGAATCATTAAGCTAATTAATATCCAACTATTTATTACTTTTGTAAATGTGCTAATCTCCTACCTAATGGCCAGCATAGCATGGAGATAATTCGATCATTTTCTCACAGTGCCAAGTTTTGTTGATAAATTCAATGGTTGAACATTATTTCTGATCCATACAACAGTATGTCTTGATTCAGGAACCGACGGATCTAACAAATTTTTTGAACAAATACTTATTAGTTTGATAAATTCTATCTCCGTATTGTTGGTGTGGAGAATATTTGGAGAGTCACAAGATCTAACAAATTTTTTAAACAAATATTTATTAGTTTGATAAATTCTCTGTATTGTTGGTGTGGAGAATATTTGGAGAGTTACAAGAGGTGGAGAATATTTGGATTGTTACAAGAACAGTTAGAAGTAATGTGTACAAAAAAACACATATACATGTGAGAGGGAGTGTAGTGATGTGGTTATCTCACGTATATAAAGAAGGGGAAAAAAACAGTTTCTCTCCACTACATTCTAAACACTATAGCTATTGTATCCACTATAAACTACAATAAATATTATAGAGTGCTGGTTGTATTTAATGCTCTCAACACTCTTTACTTGTTATAATATTTTATATAACATAAAATTTGCATAGAATTATGATCTATACTTTTTTATAATCTTGCAAGATTAACACCTATTGCCTCAATAAAACCTTATCTAGAAAACTCTTATTGTATCCAAAGGCAAAACCATAGATGAAGGAAAAAGAGCACATCATTTTAAGAGTTTATTAACTTTCTTGCATATAAAAAGCAAGTTGCAGCATGCCAATGCCATAAATAAATCGACAATAGTTGCTTAAAAGGAGCACTTTGGTGAGGAGATCAACAAGGTTATTTGCAGATTCAATTTCTTGATCTTAAGTGTTTGATCAATAATCAAGTCATGGATATAACTAAAATACTTCGGATCAATATACTTTGTCTTCTTGCCTTTAATGAAACTAACTTGCATCTGTACATCACAAGCTTTATTGTCTTTATATAAGATAGTTGGAAAATCATCATATGAAAGTCCATAGGTTGTTTGAATAAGTTTATTAATTGATTACAATCAAATATATTCTTGAGATACTTCATGTAAAGTAATAATTTTTGCATGGTTGGATGAAGTTGTAGTTACAGTTTGTTTCACTGATTTCTATGATATTACAGCTCCATATCTTAAGAATACATAGCATATTTGAGATTTAGCTGTTGCAATATCAGATTTATATCCTACGTCAAAATATCCAACCAATTTTGGATCTGCATATTGTGTGTAGTATAATCCCAAATTTTTAGGGTTTTTTAAATAACATAATAAATATTTAATGTCATTTCAATGTTGTAGTCTTACAAGAACACTAACTGCAAATGCAATATCTGGTCTTATAGATGAGCTAAATATAAAAGTGCTTCAATTGCTACAAGGTATGGATATTGATCTTCTAATATTTCTTCCTCTTTCTTGCACAGTTTGTATGGATTATGACCATCATGACCACATCCAACTATTAGTGTTGACAATGAATAAGCATCAATTATATTGAATCTCCACAAGATTTGTCTAAGATATGTTAGTCGGTAGAGAAAAATACTACTATCTATGAAATGTATAATCTAAAGAGTAATGCAAAAAGTTATTTTTCCTTGCATTTTCACCTCAAATTCATAGATAAGTAGGTTAGTAGTTGCAATGCATAGAAATCTAGTTTCCATTAGATTAAGATCATCAACATATACAATAATGATTATAAAACCAATTTTATCTTGTTTGATAAATAAATAAGGGATTAGTGGATCACTTATAAACTTATTTTTAATTAAATAATTTTGAAGATGTTGATACCACATGCATCCAAATTATTTTAGACCATACAAGGCCTTGTGTTATTTAATACCACGATATTGTTTTGGAGCAGGTACATTTGGAGTTCCTGTTTCTAAACCATGTAGAACTTTCATATAAATATCTGCATCAAGAAAACCATACAAATATGTAGTTACCATATCTATGAAATACATCTCAAGGGTGGCATGAATTGCCATTTCAATAATATATTGAAATGTAATTGAATCCATGACTAGAAAATATGTAGATTTATAATCAATGCCAAACTGTTGGGTAAATCTTTGGACAACAAGACAAGCTTTACAGCCAGTTACTTGATCCTTAGCATCTTGCTTGCATATTAATACCATCTTATACTTCCCAAGGTGAGAAGTAAGAGTATCCACAATTGGACCAAAGACTTTCCTCTTACGTAAAGAAGCATATTTCTCCTCAATGGCAATTTTCCATTTTAACTAGTTAGAGCGACACATTGCTTCTTCAATGGTTTGAGATTTAGAATCATTTTTTTTTGTAAAAAAGAGCTTTTGCAATCTTGAATGCAAATGATTCATCTATTATAATAGATGATCTATTTCAAATGTTGTTTGTAGCACAATATAGAACAAATAATTCTATATTCAATTTAGTTTTATTCTTCTTAATTTTAAGATTTTCTATTGTATGCGATGAAGGTATGATTTAAATGGACATATTATCATTAATTGATAGTTGTGTAGGTTTAGTAGGAACTTCCACCAAAACAATACGAGAAACACAATATATTATAGCTTTTTTCTTTTGTAGTTGCTTATTTAGTCCACAAGTTCTTTTAATTTTTGTTGTTTTAACCTGAGGTATATTAGTTAGTGGTATTGCAATTGGAGCAGGTTCATTTTAAGCATCATTAATTGGAACTCTTGTAATCCGAGGCATATCATTGAAGCCATCAAGTGTTTCATCTGCAATCTATTTTAGTTAGAAAATCTTGACAACTTTAGTTTCAGTCAAAGATGTTCTACAACTAAGATTCATTGTAAACATTTCTGGTGCTGCAAATATAAGTAATATATTTCTTTCTTGATTAAATATTCTTCTTTGAAGAGATCAAAATACATTTTCTTTAAAACAACAATTTTGAAAACATGCACGGAATAATGTGTAAGTTGAGAGTTCAATAATATGAATAATGCTTGATAAATAAAAACCAACATATATGCCCTCTTATTGATGAGCTTTAATGATATGCCATTGAAATTTTAATACTGAAATCTAAGTATGGCAACCAAATACAAATAGATGAGATACAATTAGAACACAATCTAAAATGAGTTCTTATGGTGTAATAATTTCAAGAAAAGAAAGTTAGAGGCATATTAATGTTGCTGCATACAAAACTACATGATCCCACATAAATGCAAGTAAATTCGCCTGAAAAAGGAGTGGCTGGGTAATAAGTTGTATATGCTTTATAAATAACTTTACAAGTCTATTTTGAGCATGTTCATATGGGACACAATATGTCAACTCAATCCCTATTGCAATATAATAGTTTTTAAAAAACTTTGATGCAAATTCTTTTACATTGTCCATACACAATGTTTTCATAGGATAATCAAGAAAATATGCTTGAAAACAAATAAGCATAGATATAAGATTGATAAATATCATATTTTGCATTGACAATAATGAAACATGTGACTGCTTGCCTAATGTATTAACAAGGACCAAAAAATAATATTTTTTTTCAAATATTAGATTAACAGGACTACAAATATCACCATGCAACGTTTTAAGCATTAGTGGTAACTCGTGTGGAAGTTTCCAAATTAAAAGCTGAGCAATCATCTTACCTTACAAACATGCATGATATAATTCTATAGAATCTGCATGTGTAGGTCTTAAATTATGCCCAGTTATACATAGAATTATCTTCCAAATATTTTCTTACAGTTATACATAGAATAATCTAGATCCTAGATGTTCCAATTGTCTATGCCAGAGAAAAACATAATTCTCTATAATAAATGATGCAAAATTAAATATAATGGAAGGCCAAATTGTAATCTGATATAAACCATTTTTAGCAGCAAAGGCTTTTTCTACAACTTTATGATTCTATATAAGAACTCAAACCTCTTGTCTATCTAGAATTGCAATTGAAAGGTGATAACCATTGGCATGCACATCTTAGTAGCTGATGAGACTACAAGATGCTAAGCATGCAAATATTGTATGTTTATATTTTATGATAGAGACCGCAAATAATTTATCATCACTATTCTCTCTTAGAAGCATTTGCTTCAGCTATAGTCATCAAATTTTTAGTTTGTCAAGTTGAAGATTTTTTTAGTAAAAAATTGTCCATCTTATAGGATAGTATGTATTGTTGTAGAATCAATAAGAGCATTATTTGACTCATCATTAGAGGTTTTGACATTCATATAATCCTCTACAATATCAACACCAATTAAATCCATGGATGCATCCATGGTATGAATTTCATGAGCCACAACTTGAAATTTCTTATTTTTTTGGAATATTTCAACAAAGTATTATGAAATATAGCATAGATGTATTAAATTTCTAATAATTCTCTATTTATGGTAAGAACACATCTCTAATTTTTTTCTACTATAATTATTGTAGAATATTTATTCTTTTTATATGGATGGAAATGGTCACCACCATGAGTAACCTTGTGCTTATGGGCACTTTTCTTATGTTTATATAATTTTTTCTTAGACTTTGAAATATTAAGTGCATGAGATTTTGGAACTATGGATCTAATAGAATAAGCTTGCATATTACGCAAGAGTAGTTCATTTTGTTTCTCTGCAAGAAGTAGATAGGACATGAAATTAAGATGATTCTAAAATTTCATATTCTTATATTATTATATAAGCACATCAAATAGAAGAAGAAATATAGAGAGAGTTTTTTCAATCATTTCTTCTTTAGAGATTCTTTGTCTACATAACTATAGTTGTGAGACA